ATAAATTTATTATTTACATATTTATTAATTTTTAAAATTTGTTAAATATTTTTAAGACATATTTCGTTCATATAATTCGGAAATAAAATAATTTGGCTGTTAGTTGAGGTCCAAAGAGGCTCTTCGTATTTCTATGTCCAAATCTATATATTTTTCACAATTCAAACATTGCCTTCATCCAGGAATAACCTTAACCTTTGGTATTTTTCAAGTTTGTTTAGGTCTGGACCACATTGGACCCACTCGTACATCGAGGTCTTAACCTCCACAGTCGTCGTCTTCCCCTTAAAATCCCACACTAGGGTCCTACTGGTCCTCCGTCCTGCTGCCTGGCTAATGGAACGTAAAGTCTGCATGATTAATAGGCGTCAGTCGGTCGTTCGTCTGTGCCTCGTTCTCGTCCTCGTCAGACATTAATGCTCAATCCAACCCCTACCCAAATATGGGGCTGCCCCACCGCCGAACCTATAACTTTTTTTTGCTGCCGCTTCGCTCTAATGATTTCAATACAGCCAACGAAAAAAGTAAAGAAAAAAGACGAACCCGAAGAAGTCAACACACAGAGACCTTCATTTTGTTTCAATTTGCTTGGGGGCGTTGGTCCTCTGACCGGATCGGACTCAATTCAACCGAACCGAACCCGAACCCGAACCCGAACTGGACCCTGCCCCTCGCGGTTGCCTCCACTGTTTGTCTTGTGTCCTGTATGTGGGTCCTCCTCCTTTTTTGTTGGCTTTCAGCAGTTCGGCTATTACTTTTAATTGAAATGCTACAATTTCTGTTTGTCTTGCCTCACGATGCATATCAGCTTACGGAAAACAAATGTAATCTCCCCATTAAATTATTCGAAAACCTGAGGAAAAGACTCATTAAAAGGGGGCTATAAATGGTATCCAGGAAATAATATTAGAGTGGTTAGATATATATTAAATCCCTAAGACTTTTTGTAATTAAATTATGAGCCTTTAAAGTGCTCAATTAATATAGGGATAGGCAAATTAATCTACCAAATACGGAAAAATTAAAGAGAAATCCCGTGAAGCGTGGAAAAGAATTAACAGAAAATTTATCGCAGTACTTCCCAGGAAATTTCTAGGAAAAAATAAGTAAATCTACAGCCCTTGAGTTCTGCAAAATAATAGCTTGAAGCCATTCCTGGAATTCAGAAATTATTTATGTAAATGCGATTAAGTTTCTTTCGTTTCTATATCACCATTAAATAAAGGGGTCTCCATGCCTTCTACTAGACCCAAAAATATATACAAAAAATAATTGAATAAGTTTCCATTTTAATTCTTTAAACTTGATCCCCTTCAGAATAAAAAAAAAAAAACGTAATTTGTTTGCAAAAACAATATTAATACAATATATGATATGCTGTTACGTGATATCGCGAGAGAATCCCTGAAATGTATCAAATTAAAACGCGAAATTCCATCATCAGTCGAGCGGCAGAGCGGCAGAGCAGCAGTCAAAAGTGTGACTTTGTCATGTTGATTGCACAATATATTATGTATATTTAAAATGTATATATAATTGGAACATAAAATACGTTTTATGGCAATTTGTCCGTCAAAATGTTGTTGGCCAGAAATGAGCATGAAATATGTACGAATTTGTTTGGGAAATCTCCGAGAACTATCGCCCCGCCCCGCACCGCCCCCTACTACGGTAAGATTTATTTGTGTTTGTTACCTGCCTTTACGAGTATTACCTGCTGGCAGAAGAAGAAAAAAAAAACCATCGAGGAGCTACCATCAATTGGGCAAATGCAGAGATAAACTTCAACAAAAGCTTAGTGGCTCAAAATGTTGTTGTCTGGCAAACACATGACACATGGATGCGACTCTGTGTGGTATCTTTTGTGGGAATCAGTGTGTGTGTGTGTGTGTGTGTGTGTGGATAATCAACACAAACAACAATACACAGAGAAAAATGCACACCCACTGAGAGCGGCAGAGATACTCGTAGAGAGAAACACAGTTGCTCTTGGCCATTGTGGCGACACAATTTTATTTAAACAAAAGCCTACTTGAGCTTTTGCTCAGTTTGCCACAGCAACAATTTAATATGTGTGTGTGTGTGCCATATGATATGGCCTTAAGTACCTACATATGTGGCACATAATGCCCCCCACATGGACCATCTGCTGGGTAGGCCTGTGGGGCGTATAGGTTTTGGCCGGGGTTTTCGGAAATAAATAATAAACGAAAGTGATATTCCAACAATAAAGAGCACTTGTCATAAGCCCAAAATCTTCTAAAGGAAGAGCGAATGGTGGCTGGTAGGACAATATTTAAATATCTCTGGGCTATTCCGCAGAGCTGTTTCCAATCAGGAATATATGGCATACTTTTTGGGGTCAAGAACAAAGCAGAGATTTCTATAATATCATCAAAATTATTTTTTAGATTTTTAGATTGGTTTATTTAAAGTCCTGCGCTCCTTTTTTCACCAGAAACCTTCCGGAAACCTACACGAAACTTCTCTCCTTCTAAAAAGTTTCTCGAAAACTGTGGCAAAGGCAACTTAAAACTAAAAATATTTCATTTTATATCTATTTTCGAGATTTAAATTATAATATTTTATATTTTTAGTACAAAGGAGTAACTTATAAATTTTTTATGGCCATTTTTTGGTTCCTATCTCTTGCAAACTCATGAAAAAAGAGATAAATATTGTTAAATATTAAGCCACTTAAATATATTATTTCATTGACATATAGAAAGTGTCTTCCATAGAGGTATTTATCTGCCAGATCTATATTTATCTACTCTACAATTTTCGGTACATTATTTTCATAGACATATAATCTCCAATTAATTTATTTTCTTGGTTGAATATTTCTAAAACCATTAATTCTGTGCGCTTGTCTTGTGGTTTACCTTAATTGACATATTTCCCAGACAGACTGAGAGAGTGGGAGAGCGAGGTATCATCGCATTCCATATGATTACTTTGACCTGTGGCCCTAGCCGCCTTTTGAGTAAGTGAGTCAAGGGCACACTTCGCTTCTGGGGGCCACAACTTGATTAATGGCAAATTGTAGGGCAGCTTAATGAGCGGAATGTACTCACCGAGAGAGAGAGAGACTGATATGGATAGAGAGAGACCTAACATTACATATTTCTGTGTGTTTTTGTATATTATTTTGCAGAAGCTCAATGAAAGTTCACAGAAATTTCAATGAAATTTCATATTTACGTGATGCCCCGAGGATGAAGTATGGATACAGGGTGCGGGGAGGGGGTTAGGGGGTGAGGATTTGACGCTGTCAGAAGCAATCAGGCTGCAGGCGATGCTCGGCAATATCAAAGAGCGTATTAACATGCAAAGCAGGGGCCACAACCAAAGTCAAAGCGCCACAAAAAAAAAAAAAGAAAGAAAGAAGGCAAAAAAAGAGGGAACCGAAGCGAACTTGACTTGCCACAGAAGGCGCAACAAAATTGAAAACCATTAGGATTAATGTTTAGTTGAAAGATTTGCGCGTTAAGCCATTTTTACATGGTTGCCTTTCCAGCGAACTGCCAGCCACGCCAGCCACTGCCAGCCAGTGCCAGCCAGTGCTTTTAGCCAGGCCAATTGCTAATGTAGTTTATGTGTAGGAGAATGGAGGAGGTGGAGGAGGAGGAGGTGAAGGAGGAGGATGATGGGAGCCTGGGTCTGGTGGCTCTGGTGGCTCTGCCTCTTAATGTTAACTGACGTTCCTCTGGCTTCTGTTGCTGTTAGGCTTAGGGCGAGACGCACAAACGACATGTAAAATGTGACATTTTAATGTATGCAAATGAGACGTTGAATTAAGCCAAGGCACACACAAACACACACACCCACACCCACACTTACATTGGGAGGGGTAGAGGGAGAGACTCCCGCTGGTGTGCAAACATTCACTTGGTTTCATATCCGTTTCCGCTGCCGTTCAACTGTGCAGCAGCAGCCTCTGTCTTTTGTGATATGATTTGAAAATAATGAAAGAACGTTAACAGCTTCTCCTTCTCCCTCTCCCCTCCCTCTCCCCTCTCTGTCTCCCTCCCAAGCTATTAGCAGCCCCCGCACGTGTCTGTTTTAGCGGAAATGTCAACTTAACTTGCCCGAAGCCCCGAAAAACTGCGACAAAAGCCAAAACCAGGCACAAAAATAGCAAGTGAGAAGGTTATGGATGGATATTGCGACTACAGGATACCCACTACCCGGATTAAGGTCTCACTATGCGCAAAGGGAACGCAGGAAATGCTTTAAGGGGCTAGAAATACTTCCTTCACACACACAGGACTCCAATATCCCCCCGACATGGGAATAAACTAGAGGAAGGAGAAAAACAAACCCCAAATGGGGGACTTGTTGTCCAATTTATTAATTTCTATTCCGTCTGCGTCTCACAATTTGTTCTTTGTCTTTGGACATTCGACATTCGATTGTTTGGTCTTTGGATTTCAATTTGTTGATTGTTTTTCCTGGGGATTTTCCCTCGAATTCAGTTCGGAAGGGGGACAACATTTTTTCCGTTTTCTCTCTCTTTTTTTGTCATGAAAAATGCTGTAAGAAAATTGTTTGATTATGAAATCTGTAAAGTTTTTTGTTGTGGGTTGAGATTTTCCGGGAACTCTGGCAAAGATTCAAGGAATTTCTGTCTTCACTTGAAAGTTGTTGGAAATTTGTTTAAGTATTGCAATTTATTTTTGGCATTGCTTTGGAGAGGATCGAGTGGATGCAGAGACAGCTCTGAATACCCCTTATAATACCCCTCGGAAGTTCTTTGGCTATTCATTCATCATCATCAAACCTTCTCTTCAATCTCAATCTCAAGGGGAAACTTGTATAATTACAACCCCTATTTAATCTAATGCCCAAGCCTGACCTCTGCACACACACTATAAAAATAATAAAAATGTTCATGGCCTAAACCAGCAATCCCCACATTTATTATGGACCATTTAAAATGTGTTCATAATTAAAGGGAAAAAGGGCGCAAGGATACATTAGAGCGTTGGAGGACTCACCGATTAGGACTAATATCACATGTAGAATGTACCAAATCTGCAAATGGGTGGCTGTCCTCGACCTCGACCCCGAGCCGGTCTGTCTGCCCGGAGCCTGTTGCTCCAGCCGCTGCTGATGATGGCATTGGTGGTGGTGATGGTGATGGTGATGGTGGTGGTGGTGCTCCTGCCTCTGCTGGAGCCAGCGAGAGGATCTCCGCTGATGGTGGGGCGCCAGCTGGTGCTGGCTGTACGGCTCCAGTCCGCACATTTCACGCAGTAGTTGCTCCTCTGGTTTTTGGTTTCTATTCCCCAATGAGCCACACGCCCACACGCACTAATGTCTTTATTAATTTCTGTGTGAAAATTTCACTTATTTCGTTTGGACATTAAGTTGTTTTCGGGTGGTTCCCCTTTGTGGGTTGCCTGTAATGTTGTTGTTGCTGCTGCTGTGCGGTAATAAAATGTTGACTATTAATCACTTTTAATCGCGACGCGAACGAAACCAACAAAAACATCCAAGAAAAAGTTAAAGGCAAAAACTATTAAACGGCATAAGGATCGCCCCTGGCTCTACCCTTCCTCTTCCTCCTCTCTGTGGGAAGGAAGGACTGCAGTCAAGTTAAAGACATAAATTTTCAAGCATTTTGGGCAAAGATTAATTACACAGCAGCCTTTCCCTCAGCGGAAAATGCTGAAGCTGGGAAGTGCGACAAAAGCGTGCAAAAGCCAGCGAAACGAAGCGAAGGGAAACCCCATGCAACATAAATTCAAAATCCTTTGGGCTCCCATTCGCCCCCCAACCCCCCTCCCAGCAACCCCCCTGCTCTCCTGAGTTGATTTAGAGCGTCACGAAAGCGCTTGCGAGGCAATTGAGTTGGCAAAGGAGTCCGGGCAGGGGAAATGAATTGGAGGCTGACGTCGAGGCCCAGTTAAAGTTGTTTTCGAGGCCAAGTAACTGTCGGAGTTGCTGTCCTACTGCCACACAGAATCGTCGCCAGGGTTTCCCGGTAAACGGCAGAGAAAGGCAACTATCTTGGGCAGAGAACTGATGGGCAGACAAATGTGTGTCAGAGCACATGGAAAATAAACCAGAAATTATTCATTTATCTTGGAAATCTAAATCTAAAATGCTATGAGAGCTGAAGCCTCTGTAGGGTTTTGATATTTAATACCAAAAAGGAACAATAATCCAGGCAAATAAAGATATAAATACTGAGCTTCATTTATAGAAAGAAATACTAAAAGGATAGTCCTTTCTTTTTCATGAATTTCAGGAAAGGAGATCTTTGTTGGATAGATACCATTATTTGCCCCTCTCTCCAAGCTCCAAACCATGAGATATATGACCCCTACATGAAACTAAATAAATAATAAAAGACACACACATACCTAGGAAAAATATTCAGCAGAACTACAGCAAAAACTATAAAATATAAAATATCAAACACCAATCGAAACAATAATTATGTCACGTAGATAAACAATAAAAAATGATTAAATTGTTGTTGCGAGAAACATTGGAAAATTCATCAAAAATGGTAACATTTTTCACAATCTAGTAAATAAATATTTTTCGTGAAATAAATGGCAGCATTTTGAGAATTTATTAGAAAAAGCCTGCTATAATGATGCATTTCAGATGGATTCAAAGATCTTGGCTAATAAATATAATTTCCGCATTATGGGATATATATTCTGAAGGAGAATTGTGCTTTTTTACTGGTAAATGCGAGCAAATTCTGGTGAATAAAATAAATGAAATAAATATAATTCTGATACGTAGATGATTTTTGAATCAAATGAAATATTACACCGACGAAAGACGATATTGTACAAATTGTAAACACCTTTTTGAATGTCATAAAAACAGAACATATACGAGTATGCACCACAGAAAATAGATGTATGATATTCCTCTATCAACTGACATTATTTGTTGGCAATTGAAAAAATACACCCAGAACAAAAGCAATTAACAAATATTTATAAATATTTATGCATACACATATGTATGTAAATACCATGTCAGTAGTTGACAGCTAACAAAAATGTTCAACAAATTTTAAAATTTTTGCTCAAAAAACTTTGCTCGCGTCTGACATTTTTTTTGCGTTGTTTTCGTTTTGTTTAAAGCAAACAATGGCGGAATAACACACAAATAAATAGCTAACAAGTCAGGTGCAGATAATAAACCAACAACAACAACAGGGCCAACAACAGAAGCTGTTATTATAATTACAACAACAACAGCGGCTGAGCAAATTTAGTCAGCGCCTAAAAATATGCAGCACGAAATGAATGTCCAAGACCCAGCCACAGAAAGGACATTCCAGCCCCAGACCCCGGCTCCAGACCCCAGCGAGGCAGCATAATTAGCCTAAATGGGAGCAGGAGCCAGATAGCGCGAAGGAGAGAGGAAACGCTGAGAGGGGCAGATAGACAGCGAACAAAAATGACAAAATATAATTAAAGATTAAACAGTGCTCGGGTCAGACTAGAATTTTCTGTGGCAATATTTCAGGCTGAAATTTCCCGAGGTAAATGAACTCAAGCCAAAAGGAATCGCGGAAAAGCTGAGCTACAGTTGAGGCTTCTGATTCGTCTACTTTTGCCAGGCACTGTCTTCAATGGGTGTCTTCTTGGCCGAGGAAAGATTTGCTTAAAGTCTAGGTGGAAGATCTAAGGGATATTTCCCATTGATCATTCACTCTTTTTGGCACTATTTAAAAAAAATTCTCAGCTGTTTTTATTTGTTAATTTTGCGTTTAAAAATGCCTGATGATAGCACAGAATATAAATCTATTTCTGAGAAATTATTTTGTGTTCTTTATTGATCCTCACTTATTTGCATGCACTTTTTAGTTTAGTTTTGAGTGGAAATTAATTGTTTTTTTTTTTTAAGAGTTACTCTTTTTCTTTTGTAATTTTCAGTACTTTGGGATCTGGCTGTGTTTTGAGCCCTGATTACTTCTTGTGCTCCACTTTTCGCGCTTTAATTATCCGCAACCGCAACAGCTTTCTCAGTTTTTCTCCCCCCCAACAGCCGCAGCAGGAGCAACAAATGCCTGACAAATGTTTGTGGCACGCAACAAATGCCGCATGCCTGCCTCAAAAAAGTTCCATTTTCACATCTATTTTTAGTTGTTTTTGTTTTTTAATTTGCCTTTGCCATGCGTTTCAGTTGTTATTATTTTGATTTTTACTTTTATTTCGTTCTGCACTTGCACTTTTTACTCGAACACGGAATTACTTTTAGTGCTCGCTCTCGCACACACACACTCTCTGCCTCGCTGGTGTCGGTGTGTGTGTGTGTGTGTGTGTGTGTGTGCTTTTGGGATGTTCGTTTCGTTTGCTTCAGATTTGAGTTTCAGTTTCGTTGGGGCTGAACGCGCGAGACAAAAACGACGTGCGTTCGTCTGGGAGTGCAAATGATGACTAAAAAAAACTCTGCCTCTGTGGCGACTTGGCGGAGGTGGCGCCCCCAAGGCGGTCAGTGCGGGAAGCTCGCGCGTCGTTGGTGCTGTCGGCGAAAGCTTTCCATTCGGCACTAACTGCTGAGAGAGAGTGCACTTCGGGTCTCGGACTCTCTCGTGGGAGGACACGTTCTCTTGTTTGATTCGATTCCATGTTGTTCCGCCGAGAGAGCGAGAGCGCTGTTATGGGAGGGTGGATTAACAGAGGTGCTCTCTACAGTGCTCCTTCCTCGTACCACTAGAAGTACCAGTAAAACAGTGAGGTAGGCTAACAGCCCTTCTCAATGATTGTGCGGGTTAGTTAATAGTTGAAAATGGGATGTTTTCTAGCATATGTAAATGCTGATAGCAGCTATGCACATTTTTCTAGGGCATAGCTAACATGGCTAGCCTAAGCCATACGGAAAGACATCATTTGCAGTATTTCCAAAGTTTGTTTTATATCTTTAAATATTTGAAAATCGTATCAAGTGTTATCTCAATTAAATCTGGTCACCTTTCTCTAGCCTAGACTAAGCCTAGTAGGACATTGAAATTAAACATGTATTCATTGGTGTGTGGAATTTATGATTTTACAGTACATAGCCACTAATCATTGCTTAGTTACCAGTTCCAAGTTGCATCGACTGCATAGTCCCTATGTTTATTAGTTAGTTTAGATATCCTGGCACTCACTAATTGTGCAGGTTAGTTAACATTGCTTTGGCTTTAGCCAGCAGACCTGTGTACCCTTTACAGAACATTTAACATCACAGCTCATCGCTTTACATTTCCATTCCACAGCCCTGTTAAAATAGTGGGAATTTGTATTGGCCTTACATTCCTCTGTTATTTACATCTGTTAAGAAACCTGAAAATCTCTTTAGCGTAATGTTTGTCAATAAATAAGCATTATCAGCATGATTGTCAATGAATTTGTTGGGCCTAAAAATAAATTGTGCTTTGTAATCATGTTAACTGATTTTCTTATGTGGATTTTTTTGTTATTGAAATTTTATACAATTTTGTTATGGGTAGTCAAATGCGGCTACAAGGATGTGGTTTGTTGTTTCATGTATTAAAAACAGTATTTTCAGGTGTCTATTAAAGCAAATCCATAGAAGAGATACACTCAAAAAAATCTCCACCTGCCTGAAGAGTGCATTCATTACAGATAAATTCGCGTAGACTTGATTTTTTTTAAAAGTAATCTCTTAATCCTTTTTTCTATAGCAGCAGCTTGCTTTCATTTGGAAATCTTTTAAATGAAAAAAAACTGGAAAACCAGACTATTTTTTCACAAGCTTTCAACTGCCCGAACCATATATTTTTCTATATTTTTTTAGCTGGCAAAGATTTATCTCTAAGTTCTAAGAACGACTCCCTTCCTCTCCTCCTCAAGATTGACCCAGGATGAAAGCAGGGACCCCTGTTGGCCCGTTAAAATTTTGACTGCAAAAACACTTCCACTGCTTTGACAGCGCACAATTAAAGCCTATTAAACGAAGGACACAATAAGTGTATATGAGTAAATGGAAATATATGGACAGACGAGGATATGTGCGAGCTTGTGGATATGTGGGGATATGGAAATCAAATATAAATGGCGCTTTGCGTAATGAAATAAAATGTAAATTTAACTGTCACTGTAAACCACTTAAAATAAATATGAAAAATTATCACAATATTTAATGAACCAACAGACCAGAAAGCCAAACTGAACTCCGACTGATGACGTCAGTGGGGGCGGTGGACTGTCTGGTAGGGTTATTAAAAATTATCCCTGATATATGACTTTATCTATGCGATGCATGCCACCACCCCCCTCCCACCGCAGCTCGAACAGAGAGAGACTCTTGTTTTCCCAACAAAATGACAATGAGAGAGAAAAAAGACGTGGAAATCAAATGGAAAATGCATGAAAATGGTGCCATACAGAAATGGAAATAATGTAAATGATTGCACTCTGTGTGCATTAATTGAGTTAAAGTTTTATTCAGCAATTTAAAAATTGCTTAAACGACAACGGGCAAACTTTTCAAGGTTCAAGTTTCGTTGCTCTGAGGCCAGGCATATGCAAATGTGTGGACCCATCCTTACGTCTATACCTATCCCTATACCCATCTTCAAAGACTTGCTTTTGGTCTGGCTCAAAGTCCGCTGTGGGTCAGTGGCATTTCGACTCCTTTCTGGGCTCGGAATGGGAACGGGTTCAGCGTTTTAGCCATTTTTAAGTTCATGTGGTTCTCCGCTTGGGGGGACATCGAAAGAGAAGTTTGAGAGAAGTAGAGTTTTTACAGGGAAAGGGGGACAAAAAAGTTAGGGATTTTATAGTCCGTCTGTACCCTTTTTTCGATACGTTTGCCATTCAACTTCTTTCTTAAGCAGAGTTTGGGCACTTTGATATCACAATATTTACCAGTAATTTACTAGTAAAACAAAATGTGTCTCTGCCTCCCTGCCTCTCCTCTCGACAGCTTTGATCGTCCTGTCATTTATTTTCGAATGCTGAAGAGAACACTACTCCGACTTCAGTGGTTCCAAGTCTCGCAAATGAAAACTTTTAACTATTCCAGCACCAATCAGCACTTTCGAATGAGCGGAATATTCAATATCTGCCCAGCACTCGAACGTGAGACGAAGAAACGTAGCGGACCTTAATTGGACTTTAATTGGGACTTCAAATCAATGCTTATCCAGGTTTCAAATTATAAAAAATCAACAATTACTTCAGACACAGACAATGCTAACCTTTAACCCTTTTTGAAGGTATAGATATTTCTTAAATTTGGTTTGAACTCCTTACGATTATAGCCACTGATGTCCTTCACAGAATATCCACCGAAATATTGGACCCTGCCCCCCCCACGCCCCCCTCCCCTCATAAGCCAGAGTCAACTTTCACTCGCATAACTTTTTCCGCAGCTGTCATAAAAAAGCGCACAAAGAAAAACGCACTTTTTTTTTGTTTTATTTTGGTGGCCCCAAAGGGAGTGGGCGTGTCCATATCGGGTGGGCTGGGAGTGTGTGTGTGGGGGGGGGGGTGTAGGGTTAAGGGCACACACATAAATTAATACGAAATACACTTAAACAACAGACGGAAAAAACTTTGTTCCTCATTGATTTATAGCGTTAATATTTCTGCTTTAATGCATCAAATAAATTAAATTGTCTTACGCACCTTTCAGCAGTCGGGAAAAACTTTTGATGGCCCCTCGATGGGAATGGAAGGCATACACAGATGGGAGAGGAATTACTTCTCGCCCACCCCTGTCCTCCTCTGCCAAGAGAAAGAGAGCAACAAATGCATAACTTCGATTTCGTAAAAACAAATAAATATTCATAAAAAATTATTCTTTCTTTCAGGCTTCCCACCCCTCGATACCTCCCTCTGTGTACTACCTGTCCCGTCTCTCTCCCCCTCAAAAAAAAAAGCACTTTGCGGATCTTCAGTCCTTGCCGACGCCGACGCCGACGCCGCCGCTGCTTTGCATACTGAAAGGTAGACAGGCCTCTCTCCCTCCCTCTCTCTCTGCAAGGCGCCTGAATTATAAATATTCATTTATGCTAAGCTCCAGAAAGAAAGAGAAAGAGAGAGTAGGGGGAGAAGGACAGAGAGAAAGAGAAGGTCCTTGGCAGGTGTGTGCGGGGGCGTTACCTTCGTCGCGCCTGTTGCCTTCCCCCACTCTGATTTCTAGGGCTGCTCGTTTCGCTCCCGTCTTGAGCCCTACCTCCCACTCCAACAGGTCGTATGATTGATTTAATTACGGTATAAGGCGTGTTTTTTGTCAGCCTTACGGAGCATTCAACTTTTTTTGCAACCACTGTGGAATATTTTTGGCCAAGGATGCGTGCAATTGAACCTTTTGCGGTCCTACTCCAATTTTGGGTCGATTTTCATAGGAGGTAGAGGAACCAAGGCCTATTTTTGGCAATTTTTTGAAGAACAAAAAATAGTATTTGAAAGGATTTTGAGTTAAAAACAGTAACAGGTGCCACTAGTTTTTTGAATCACTGTCTTAAATGAAAGTTCCTCCGAGTTCTACCCCAAGAGGAGGTCTAATTTTCTATCTCCTATAATATAAGCACTAATTTATTCAATGTTTACCTTGAGACTTGTTGCCCTTTTGTCTAATTTACAAAATTCAATGAAAATTATTCCATATTCATGTTTCACTGTACATTTTTGCCCCCTTCCTGGCCACAAAAACTGTCTGCTGAAGTTCTGTAAATAATATTTTTTGTTCTCCTTATTATATTTTTGTTTTTGTCTGTTCGCAGGGCTATTTTTGGATACTCCGAAGACGAATATCTGTGTGGGAGTGCCCTTTTTTTGTGGGTTCGAATGGGTTGCTGGAGCTGTGAGATTGGGCTGGTTTTTAATCGCTTGAACGACCGCCTAACCATCGAGTCGGCGTGTCATTAAACTGCCGCTGCGACTGCTTATCGCGGCCAGGGACTGTGGGAAATTTATGTGTTCTTCTCATTGTTGTTCCCGATGCTCCTGGATGAAGAGCTCTGCTTAGCGCCAACGCCCGCATATACACATCATTTCCGTTTCCCTTTGTGGCACCCTCATGGCGGCGGCACGGGCGACGGGGGACGGGGGGGAAACAAACAAGCGGCAGGCAGTCGTACTTCATGTAATCAACATTTTAATTGCGGAAACGGAACTCGCACACACACATACATCCAGCAGCAGCCCCTGCATGCCGCATGCTGCATGCCACCGCTATTCATGGAGTATCTGTTACACATTACGCATACGCAATGTGTGCCTCCACTTGGCACACTCTACGGTCTATTTTTTATTCCACCGGACGGACGGACAGCCGGAATGCTGGCGTTCGCTTAGAGAAAACATTTCCTCCAGCATTTCTCTCTCCTTCTCTCTCTTCCCGTCTCTCCGACTCTCTGTATCTGTATCTCTCTCGCAGGCTGGAATTCATTACATCAAATATAAAGAAAGTTTTAGGCAATTTGCCAAAAATCCCAGAGAGAGAGAGAGCGAGGCAGCCCTGTGCCTGCTCCCCAAAAAAAAAAAATCAAAAAATATACAGAGACCCACTCAAACGTTGCAGCTGCAGCAGGGCTGATGCAGGTAGCCCAAATCTACTTAGCTGATGGCGGTTGCTTGTGGGGCAGAGAGTGGCATGGCAGGGGCGCGCGGAGGGGCGGGCGTACAGGGGCGCGTGAGGTGCCTAGGTAAACGTAAACGAATTTGCGAATATGCAGCAGCCGTGGCAGCAACATCAGCCAAACCAAAGGCAACAAAAACGAGTCCGGGCTGGGGATTCGAATGGGGGATACTCTAATGGAAGGGGAATCAATAACAGCAATCGGAATTGACTGCAAAAAGAGTTCTTATACCAAAAATTTGAGTTTTTAAGAGGCTTGAATCGTGGTAGAAATTAACAAAATACTTGAAAATCATTCAATCCTATAGCTTTCCTGATAACTAAAGCAATTCCAACCCAGGTATAGATATGGCTGTTTTAATGAAAACTAACTGGTTCTTGGAGGAAGATCTATGGGAAAACCTAATCAAACCTCAGTATTTGTTGATATATCTAAGCCCTCAAACACTACTAAAAGAACGATTAATCTTTCCATTCAGTTTCCAAGAAAAAAAACACACCTGAAAATATTTACTTTCCTTTCTTTGGCCCCGCAATCTTTGCGGCCTGTCATGACCATTTGACAACCTGCTACCTTTTACTTTATACGGATAGATATCCCTGCCGTTCTCCTGTCGCCTCTTGCCTTCTTCACTCGCCCTCTTTCTGGTTCCTTCGCCATCACTTGCCTTATAGATGGCAAGCCAGTTTGCCGAAACACTTGAGCGACAATGCCGCCAGCTTGGGGCTAAGCATTGCAGTCGAAAGCCCAAAAGCTTCGAACCCCCCGCGGTCTGAGCTGGATTCAGTAGTGCTGCCACCCATCCCGGTCCCCTCCCCATCTATAGCTATTTTTTATAGCTGCATCAACAGCAGCAGCAACAGACATGATAAATTCTCTTTAGTATGCGGCATACATGAGTGATGATATTAACCAACAACAGGCAGCTGCCTCTGGGATGGGAGGGGGGACACAGGCACAGATACAGACACAGACACAGACACCGACAAGTTAGTCGGCAAAAAAAAAAGGTGAAGATGGTCGGGTCGGGTCTCTCTGGCTCCTTTTTTGGGTAGGTAAATGTGCAGAGCCGCAAGAAGTTTGTGAGTGGTTGGCATCCAGTTCATGGATGGATTGAAGTGTAAAGCGAAGGCCTGAGTAGGTCCTGGGGGGAAAGTGAAAGCCAGAGAGACCTTCCCTTAGCCTTTCCCTTTAGATTTTGCTCCTCACAGATATACCCTATGATGATCTGGTATCTTTTCCTTTAATGTCACACTTTTTTGAGTTTCCTTGCGTTCACAGCATTCGCTCCTACACACATTGCCCCCACACTTTCTTCCACACTACACACTTTCTTACCGTTCATTTTCGGTTTTTGTTCTTACATATATTCCATCATGAGTGTGACCAGTCAAGACAAAGGGCAGGCCTCGGAAATAGCTGCTTCTCGTAATGTTTTTGAAGAGGTGCTAGTCGAGAATCCCGAAGGCTCGGATGAGTTATCCGTCGTAGCCGCGGAGAGCGCCTTCGAGGATTCTATAGTGGAGATGGAGACCAAATCCGAGCCAGAGAAACCCACCAGCTCCCAAAAGGAACTTCAAGAGAAGCCCAAACCGAGTGCAACACCAAAAACCAAGCCTGGAAAAGAGTTGCCGGGTAAGAAGGACACCAAAAAATCACCCAGAAGTGCGATTACGCCACCAAAGACGCCAAGGTCGCCCTCGAAGAAGCCCCAAAAGTCTGCCCCGAAACCTAAAGCTAAGAAGCCAGAGACGCCCAAGAAGAAAGAACCCAAACGGAGGACATCCCCAAAAAGCCGCCACGACTCTATGAAGGAAAAAGCTGCATCGGAACGTTCTATCCTTCAGCCAATGCGCTCTTCGTCCATTACATCCAAACTTTCAGTATCGTCACGGTCTTCCCGAAAGTTCAGCAAGAGAGTAAACGAATCCGGAGCAACGTTGAGACCCGCACAGAGTTTTAAAATAATCCAATTGAAGCCTAAACCCAGTCCACCGGTTGCCGTAGCACAAGTAAAGTCGGAAGAGCTTATACAGGATGAGGTAGTGGAATCATCCGACAATTTGGACAATTTGGACAATTTAGACCATTTAGACACAACCCAAACGAATGTTGTCGAAACGGAGGTAGTGGTGGGAATGGACATGGACCAGAGGCTTGCCTTTCTGCAGGGCCTAAAGGAACTGCCTGACATACAGGACCTATCAGAGACCACCACCATTGAAGAATCGATTCCGGACGAAGAGGAAGGCGCGGAAGAGTCGCAAGGACCACAAACTGCTGCACGCGTGGACACTGGACGCTTTGTGGAGGCCTTCGCAAGCAGTGAGCACTTCGACTCGGACCCCTCTCTGGGACAGTCTCAACCCAGGCACGAATACGAGAGCCAAGACAGAACGGACACAACATCCACTGATAGTTCGGAAATATCGCTAGATGGTCTTTACGAAAGCGATGACGACTATCCAGAGCCTCTGTGGACGGAAGATACGGGGATTGATATTTATAAAAGCATGGCGAGCATTGTACAAATGGACGAGATAGTCGACACTGTGGTTGAAATCGGAGACGATCTCTACGAAGTCCAGCATCAGGCCAATGCCGCGGCTTGTGACCAGTTGCTTAATCAGCTGATCGACAAGGCCGTGGACTATGCCGAAAGTGACTACGTTCGCATGACGCGAATCCTGGACAAGGATAAAATGATGAAGCAGCTCTATAAGCTAATCGTGGTCTACAAGACTCAGAGTTATCGCAACGCGGGGCTCGATAGTCTTGTCTCTGAATTTTACCTAAGAAAGAAATGCATGAGCTTCATCACCAAAAAGAGTGCGTCAGACGCCTTCAGCAAGACACGATACCAGCACGCCCTCCTCGAGCTGGACAACCTTCTGAAGGTGGAGCTCCACACAGAGAAGATGAGGAAGGCGATTTTAAGTAGATTGCACGACGAGGTCGAGGTCGCTAGAATCGAGGCCGACGAGAAGGTGCGCAACTTTGAGGAAAATGTCAGGAAGAATTTATGCTTCAGGGATGGGTTCGATCATCTCAAGAAACTGGTTGGGGATGTCCTGCTACGCATCTCAACGTTTCGCGACGATGTGGACGAGGTCAGAGAAGGTCTATTGCTTGCCCAGCACACGCACGCATCACTAAAGATTGTAAGTGGTCGGGGTCACCCTTTTCTTCGTAACTTTATCTCTTCTGAATATTTTAGGAATTGGAAAAAATGGAAACCCTGGACGATGGCCTCAAAATTCACGAGTATCTGTCCAACCAGGCCACCAACCAAAGCTTGAACATCAAAATACAAGGTGAATCGTATGATTTTCTTCACTCTGGAGCCTCCCCTAACTTCTGATAGAACCTCCCCCACAGAACGTAGTGCGGAACTCAAGCGATTGTACAGACGCATCACCTACGACATCCATGGCCTGGCCCATTGGAAGAACAAAGAGCTGATGAACCAAAATATACTCTCACGCATGAAACTTAAACTCGAACGAGGGATACAAATGAGAGAGGACCTCCGGTTGAACATCTACAAGAGCAAGATCCGGCACAATAACCTGATAAAGGAAAAGGAGAACATCCGCACCGCCGGCCGCCTCATGCACTATCCCGTCCTCATGAGGGACTATGACGTGACCGTCGAGCAGGTGGAGGCGAAGCGGGATGTGATCAAGAAACTGCGCTTAGAACATGACCGCTTGGAGCGCAGGGTTCAACAGGTATCGAATGACATAACCGAGCAGCAAGCGAAGCTACGAAATATCCGTTCTCTGACCTTATTGAAGTGATTCAAGAGGTAATGGCATACCATGGAATATACTACAAATACGATCGTTTCCGTTTCCATTTCGGGGATTCTGGGGGCAGTTTTTATTTCTTAGTAGAGTCCTTGCCAGTGGCTCCAGTGGTCCGCATAGCAGGACAAGTGCTCGGTGCTCTGCCGTACAGTGGCCGTCGAAAAAGTTTCCCTATGATGTTCTTAAGAAAGCACAGGTTGAAAAGATCTTATCTTATGAAATGAAATTGTTTTTGAAACCATTTTAATGGCAGTTAAACGAGCACAAGCTATCCTGAAACTATTCCAACCACAGAGTAGTAGCCGTGATTTATCTTTGGCCCATATTTCCCAACTACTAGAGTGGTGCGCATACTAGGCGCCGCCACTGTTTGTGTAATACGTATGTATAGAAAAGTCATGTTTTGCATCTTTTGGCAGCTGCCATATATCTTAGTTCTGGGCCCAAAATAGGACTACGAGAACATTGGATACATAGTCAGCACACGAACACACACCAACACATATGCAGAGACAGGTACAACCTCCGGGAGTGTATTAGTCTGTGGTGAATCGGACGGAGAAGGAGTCTGAGGATGGGAATGGGGTTGGGGTTGGGGATGCGGATGAGCCCAGCAAAATGCAGATGAGGCTGTGAGGAGGAGGCCGGAGTCTGTCCAAGCCCGGTCCGTGTCTGGGTCTGGTTGGGCCCGCTCCTTGGTATGCACATTTCATGTTGCACTTAAAAACAAAAAACGAACAGGTCGGTGGTATGTTGGGCCCAGGTTTGGGGCAGCAGGGAAGCACACAAGCATGTGGCGAAAACTAATAGCAAAAAAGAGTACAATGGCTAGCAGGAAGCCGAAGCCTTACACGCCCTACCCCAGGCAGATCGTTTTGGTAGCCAGTGAGGGAAAAATGAATTAGAAGAAAAGCACCAGCCCACATTGAAATGAAATAATCGGTTGTTGCTCAGCTCTTTTAAATCACATCAATTAACAGGATATTCTGCATTTCCACTGTAACGTTGCCCAGGTACATGGAGCTTCCTGCCGCATGCTGCAAGCAACTGCTCAGCTGGACGCTGACAGGCGGCTCGACGGCCAGAAAGACGCCCATCAGAACGGTGCCATCCTGCAGGGTCACCTTCACAGAGCGGCCCAAACAACGCTGAATATATTGCTGCTGCCACATCGGATAGATTTGGCTCAGTTCCGATTCCAGTAGTCCAATTTCCATTCCGTCAATCAGTTTTAGATTCGGTTTAGACTTTCGGATTTAGTTTTTGAATGACTGAAATGAAATAGAATCGATTGACATATAAGTGTGGGGCTACCCATTCAAAGGGTATAATCAGAGTGGGAAGAAGCTGAAGCTGGCAAAAACCGAACCGAGTTGGGTTAATGGCAAAGGTGCTGATGCCGTGCAGAATTTGCTGCACACTTTGACCCCGAGCTAAGCATCCCGAGCCCCGAGCCCCGAGCCCCCACATTGGTTAGTTTTTTGTGCCCGACCTTTAGAGCGGACACAGGTGCATCTCCATGGGTGTGTGTGTGTGTGTGCCAGGGTACTTGTGTGTGTTTGGCACGCATGTTCCAGGCGCTTATCGCCATCGTCGCCTCGTCGACTGCTGGTTGGAAAATGAGGGCGGGGTTCCAGGGAGTAAGAGGGATTGTGTGTTGGAGGGTTAAAGGTATGAAGGTGGGGGATTCTTGGCAAGCAAGATGAAATTCCGTTAGCTAAATTCGATTTTGCACTTGAGCCGCTTGCAGCCCGGCTAATGCAGAGAGCGACCTTCCTCTCTCTCTCTCTCAGTGGCAGTCGGTGCCAAAGCCATCCCTCTTACCATCTTTCCTTCTTTGGCCTCGCTGGCCAAGTGGAAGTGGAAAAAAAGGACTGTTAAAAACTAAAGCTAATGCGCTTAGTCAAATGGTAGAAAAAGAAACGGGGGGTGATACAGGAAAATGCGAAACTTGTAGGAAGGTAATGAAAATGTGCGTGTGAGCAAATCGCAACTGCATAAATCTCAATGCCAAAAGGCAATACAAATCTATAAACAAACGCTTTCGTTGCCATTTCGATCTAGAAATGTTCATATATTGCTGATTTTTCTTGTTCCATTGAGAAAACTCTCCAATCAGCCCTCGTCGAGCAGTTACTTTTTCTTGACGTCGGCATACTTTTCGACACTGAAAGCAATTTCAGGTACTCAGCCCAGCACAGACACACAGTCGTAGTAAATGCAGTCGCATTTGCATGTGGAACATGTGCAATGCACGTCGGTATTTGCATCTTCAATCCGCAATTGGGTTGGACGGGATGTGATGCTAAATATCTATGGCATGGCATCTATAAGCCAATTTCCGCTGCTTTCCAGCTGCAAAACGGATGCGTTGCCGTTGCTTTTGCTGTTCCTGTCTCGTGTCTCGTGTCGCACTCAATTAACGCAGTTTGTCATTTTTGTTGCATTTCCTTTGGCATCCCTGTAGCACGCTTCCTCGCTGGGATATGCTGATGATGACTATGCTATAAGTATTTCCGTTGTATTGCAAATGTCATGCTATGAAGATGGAGGAGATAAGTACAGTGCTTCCTGGAACTATATAGTCAAGAGGCACCAACAGATCTGTCTTTCGAATAGTGCGTGGACAGAGACCTCTCCAAATACAGTTCAATAACCAAAAGCACTGCCAAATTTTCAAATAATACCCCCACACCGAGGCATATACTTTTGTCAGGCAGTGTCTGCAGCAAATTTGATTAAGCTGCGCCACGATTTATGCTTGGAAATTATTTATAAATAAATCTAACTAACTATTTGCCTGCATCGCGGCGTCATCCAAGCAGGACGTCAGCCCTTTCCTGTTTTGCCAGCCACATGCAGGTCTCCTCCCCATCCCGCCTACCCACATGCTGCATGCCACTTAAAGCGTGCCGCACTGGAGCACACACACACATGCACACACAGTGGAACATTTTGAGTAATAAACTCATTTCATATGCTGACTGCTTTTTCATTTCAAAACTTTTTTTCGCCCTTGCTCCCCCTCGTGCTTGCTCCCCGTTTTGGCTTCCCAGTTGTTTGCTTCTTGTTAGCAGAGGGGGGGAGGGGCAGGGGCAGGGGTATGGGGAAGAGACCGCCAGCAGGGTCAAATGATGTACGAGTATGAGTTGTGTTCATACCTGGTACTCGCATGGCAGAAGGGGTATATTGTGCCCAAGATTAGGCATATATGAAGATACCTCAGATCAGTGGATCGAGACATATTGTATGTCAAAAACAGCTATTATATGATCTTAATGATCCCATGATTCCTCATGCTCTCTTCCAAAATGCACTTCTCACTCAAAAATATCCACAAATCTAAAGCGCGGGTGTCTTCTAGTCGCAATATTTGTTCATTTTTGCTCCTTGTACTTTTTTTCACCAGCTGGAACCCTTTTTTGTTGTGGTTCCTTGGCTCTCCTGCTTGGGCTGGAGAGTTTCTGGAGTTTCTGGAGTTTCTGTTGCCATTGTTATTGTTATTGCTGTTATTCGGTTGCGAGTTGTCTGGGAAATATTAAATATGCATACGCTAAATGCAGTCCAAGTCGACTGCGGCATCCGTGACTGGAACTGTTACCGTTCCCCGTTCGCCGTTCCCGTTCCTGTTGCTATTGTTGTGGCTTTTGTTGGTGCTGTGACTGTGTTAAATGTAGGTGAAACTGGCTGTCAAAATGCCTGACACAGCTGTAATGAAATTTGCACAGACCGCGTCGCGACGTCAGCATTCAACGCCAACCCACTGCATCTCATCCCAGCCCTCCGCTAAACACAGTTGAGTGACATTTTAATAAAGTGCTCACTTGTTCAATTAAATGCCCCAGGCTTATAGCGAAAAAAAGGAAGAAAAGAAGAACCCCCCAACAGCAAAAGTAGACAAACAGTCAGTCAGTCAGTGTGTCAGCAGCGAACCACGGAGCGTATTCGTAATATCAGACCATCTGACTATCTGGCTGTATTCCGCTGATGCCTTTTGTCTGCCATTCGATTGTGTTTAGCTAACAAGAGATGGATGACGGGATAGCGCCATGGATGGTGGGGTTATGTCAGTGCACTGCCGTATATCCCTATATCCGTGTACGTGTGTGTGTGTTCAGTGCAATGACAGGACTTGGGGTCATGACTCGTTGGAGAGCTGTGCAATTATAAACTGCTCAGGTGGCAGGGGAAACCATCATGGTAATAGATTAGTAGATAAATTAATTGAATGAAAAATCTACTCCTTACATTCCGTTCCTCTGCTAGGCTATATCCTCCACACACAAAGCCCTGGCTTCGAAATTTATTATTTAATTTATTAGCTTTTTATTGGATTTCAATGCGGTTGGACCTGCCAGAGTTTATTTCATAAAATAAGAAGAAGCCTTGCGACAGAAGGCAACTCAATTAGAGATAATATGATTGTGGGCGTTCTTTCTGTTTAGAAGATTAAATTAGCCAACGAAAGTATGGCTTTCTTCTTACAACTCTTAAAGTGGAAAGTGGACAAAGTTGGCGGAGGAAGAACTTGGCAAATCAAACTGAGCAGCTGCATAAACTGCAACTGAAATGCAAAAACTTGTGCGACTTTTGTCCACTCAACAACTGTCGACATCTTGAGGCAATTTCAAGGACGCCAGAGGACTCTCTAGGAGTCGCACAAAGAGCGGCAGTAAAGAAAAGACAACGGAAGCCGGCATCAACTATGAAAATTGGCACATCAAGTGCTTTAAGCGGCAATCGTTTATCTCCGGGCCTGGTTAGAGGAGATCTCTCCCGGCTATACAGATGTGCCGGCATTAGCTCTGCGACACGACACGACACGACAGCCCAGCGCAGCCAAGGCGAATCGCATTACAAGCCAAATAAATTTCACGGCACGGTAGCAAGCCAACGAAACAAATGGAATGAAACACGTTCCAGCTCGTATACGTAGAGGTGGATTGAATAGGGGGGCGCGAAGGGAGGCAGCCAGAAAAGCAGATGCTCCCCAAAGTCGTTTAAGGGAATGCATCAATCCTTGAGAACTACGAGTATGCACACAAATCGAACGATATCCGAGACATATACGCCCAAAAAGATAGACTTTGACTTCCGAGTACAGTAGGTAACAAAATATATATCGAACTGCAGATTGTCTCTTGTCAAATGAGGAATTAAAAGTACAACAATTTTATATATTAATAATTTTTAGATGTTATTGCGCGCATTTTGAAAATAGTATAGATTTGGAATTTTTGTATGGGCTTTATATTCATCTGAGACTAAAATGGGATTTAATTAATAATATAATATCATATGGAATGAGAGAAATAATTTATTACGCTTAACTAAAGCTTTAAATACACTAGTGTAAAGGTTAAATAATTCCAAAATTCAAATTAAATTAAATTATGCGATGAAAGTTTGTTTCGTCTGGATATCCGTACTACAGATGAAGCTAAATAAATAGGCTTTATATAGTCCTGGCCTTGAAACTGGGAGACTATTTGATATCCCACCCAACTATTAGACAGAAAGAGTCTTAATTTTTCTAGAATTTTCCCAGTTCGTAATACTATCAGATTTTCTTGTTATAAAATTCAGTTTTCGCTTTGGCGGAAATAAAATTAATTGCACAGTCTATGGCCGTATGCCATTTTATGGGACAATGAAAAACTAAGCCATAAGATTGAATACAAAATGGGGCAAGACGGAGACGGGTGGATACCGATAGAGCGAGAGGGCGAGAGAGCGCGACAGGAAGTGAACTTTGTCTGTTGCCTGCTCTGAGGCGCATATTCTAATCACCCGAGTCACGCAAATGTCAATGCTGCTGTCAAAGTGTCAATGAAATGTTCAATGGAAATAAAATGCGCAAATAATAGGCGGAAGAGGCGCACAAAAGCCAACCCGACAGCAAGGGAGAGCCACAGAGAACGAGCAAAAGATAGAGAGAGAGAGATGGAGAGGGAGGGGGAGGGGGCGAAGGTGCTGGATGGGTAAGAGAAAGTTGCGGAAGGCGGAAAAAAAAACTTTTGCCACTTTCTGTTTGCCCTGCTGAACGGTTATTGAAAATATGGCTTATATGGAAATGCTGTGGAAAATACGTTTTTCCATAGCTTCTCCTTCGACTTTCTTCTATTTCTCGTCTCCTGTGCCCGTCCTCCTCCACTGGCTCGATGGCCGTCTCCGTCTCCTCTCTGGTTTTTGTTTTATTAATAAGACGCCAAGGCGAGTGTGTCTGTGCGTGCGGAAGTGGTCTAGCGTGCCTCACTTTATTCCTCTTTCTCTCACTCTCCATTTCGTCCACCGCCAACCCCTCTCAATTAAATTTTACAAGACTTAGGGCCTTCGGCCTTAGGCCTCAACTAGTTAGAGGCAACAAAAATTAATAGAGCAAAAAAAGCCCACTCATTTTTACTGTCACAACGAGCTCGGCTGCGGGTGGGGGCTGGGGATTATGGTAGTGTATTGTTGGGATTGGATTGGATTGGGCCTAGCCAGGACCCAGCCGCGTCAGCCATCCTCAGCTGAATATGAGCTGAGCTCCGTTCCGGCTATTTGAATTATTGATAATAATAAATATCGTCTGGAAGATCGCTCGATTGGCCTCCATGTGCAGCACATGTTCATCCAGTGGGTCTTGGACGCCCACCTTTAGTGCCTTCGGCCACAGAAGCCTCTCTCTGGTTTACGGAAACGCTCCCGAGGCCAGGATCACGCTTCAATCAAATATCGCCATCCAGGATATGATATCCGCCTCTGTGACATCATCATCCAAGCATCGGACCTTAAGCACTCACACTAACAATAGGTGGACGACACCAATAACGATATACTATTAACGCCGTTCCCGGCCTCTTCGATTCTCGTCCCTCCTTCCTTTATTTCTTATACTCCCACCCATACACACAACAAAACTGTCCCTTAAATAATTGGCAGCACTGAAAACATGCGACGTTTAAAAATTGCCAGTATTTCGTATTCGAAATATATTCGTTTAGTTTTAGTCCAATCCAGCAAAGAAGTAAACCAGATTATACCAAATGCAGTGGCGCTCCAGGATGTCATCCCTGGAACTTACTTTGTCTTGAACGTTTCATATGTTTCAGCTTTTCAAATTTGCGCCACCGCCCACTAGTAGGCGTTTGGCACGGAAATATATGATGCATTTTTCATACATTTCAGCTTTTGTCGAGTGACAGACCTAGAATTTAGATGCGGCGGCGAGCTTTTGTCAGACATCGTTTGAAGCTTCGACAAAAAGTTCCAACGGAGCTTGTTGTCCCATCCAGTGGGACCGCGGAGTGAAAAAATCCAAAATAATATACCGAAAATTATAAAATATATCGATAACTACATATTTGATTTCAGCTCCTCATTCGTCTTTTCGACCCATCTCTATGCACAGCTTCTTGCCATTTTCTTTCCGTGAAAATTGCGAAGTTCAAATATTTTGCGAAGGAGGCTCACTTAAAGTGGAAAACTAAATATTAAAATTTAATTTCCTGTTCAGATTCCTGGTGACAAAACACTTAACAGAACACTCAAAAATCAAGTTTCCGATTTACAGCAACAGAGCTCGGTAAGTGTTTGAAAACCCTTTGAAACACTTTTGCAGGAGTTCGAATGGAATTTTTGTATAATATTATTTAAAAGGGGCAAATGAGCATTAGGTGAGAGGGGCATATTTTGGTTGGCTCCCGCACACGCATCCGCTACATAAAACCTGAACACTGTCGTGTCTAACCTAAAATCGGTCTCTGCTATGCGACAAAAAGTGTGCGTGAGAACATACATACAAATGTAATGGTGACATTCGACTAGACTTGGCTTGAACAAACTGGAAGGTGGGGTCCGATCGCACTCCATGTCTTCCACATCGACGGCCAATTGCTGGCGCTGCAGCTTTATACGCGTGCGCATGGCACAGATGCTCGGGGGCAGGTGGTCCCCACTCTGGCCTCGAAATTGCTGCAACTATGAGAGCGATATATGGCCACACTGCGTATGAGTTACAGCGGCAACTGGTCTGATAGGCAGCCTCTGCTCACATTTGGTAAGAGCCAGAATCATGGATGGCTCAAAACAGCCACCCAGACTGGCCCTTCGGAGGGCGAACGGCTTTCGATCAATCCCTCTTTCTCTTTTTCGGACGTGTGGCGGGGCCAGCCACTCCCTAACACATGAAGCCCATTAGCTCCTCTTATGGAGCACCTCTCCGCCATATCCATGACTCGATGTTTGGGATTATCTTGTGGGTCCAACGTCCATCGCTCCTGCCATTGATTTTTTCCATTTTACTTTCAGATAATGAATCAAGAAAATAAGCCACCGATGACTTGGGTGCCCGCCGGACAGGGGTGCTCATTTGTCGGCTCTACTTGGGGGATCCCCCCATATGCAAGAGCTGTCTTTGTGCCTGCCGGGCAGGGTGAGCCATACGCAGGCGCATGGGTCCCCAACGGACTGATTGAACAAACTGTAGGCGCCTGCGTGCCCGCCATACTGATTGCACCATCTGCAGGCGTCTGGGTGTCTACCGGACAGAGTGCTCCATACGCAGGCCTCTGGGTGCCCGTCGGACTAATCGGACCATATGCAGGCGCCTTGGTGCCCGCCGGAATGAATAGACCATATGAAGGCGCCTTGGGACCCACCGGGCAGGGTGAGCCATACGCAGGCCCATGGGTCCCCAACGGACGGATTGAACCATCTTCAGGCTCATGGGGATCCACCGGGCAGGCTGGACGACCAGCTCCACAAAATCGTCATCAAAAGCGTCAGTTACTACGCTCCACCTATGTTCCTTATTCCCATCAGCTGGAGAAGGAATTCGAGGAGGACGTCGCAGCTTATAGCAATATATCCTCAGTCGACAAGAGCTTGTAACCGCGGGTGAATTGCCGTGCACGCGAAATTCCGCTGCACAATAACTTAACTATTAATCGAAATACCATAGAGAAAACTTAACTGGTCTTTTTATTTACATTATTTACTAAGGCTAGTATTTATGATTACTGCATTACCATTCTGGAAATGATTGGTTGCGCTGGCAATTTCTTGGACAAATCCACCCATCCACCCGACTTCTTGCGTCTGCGCTTTCCACAACTCGCCTTCATGGACTTACTCTTAGCACAGGTGGGCTCGCTTTTACGCGTCCAGAAACATTCATCCTCGTCCAGGAAGTGTCCAGTGTCGTCAGTCGACACTACTGCAGGAGCTGTGTGCTCGCTATGCCATCCTGTTCAGTGCAAGCTGCTGCTATTGCCTTGCTTAATGGGTCCTATGGAGCTCGCGTTGTTGTGCCAATGACGACGCCATCGGATGCGACGATACTCAGAGAAGTGTGGCCTTGGATACCGCTTTAAACGCATACGACGATTGCCGTATAACCATAGACGCTTGGGGAAATCTTCAACTTTTCATCCATTTCTGAAAAAGTAGACATAAAAGTGAAAGTGAAACGAAAATCGGCATCCAGGTCGTAGAAGTTGGCGTCAAAGGGACGGATCGGTACGCCATAAAAAGTGCGTTCCACCTCCAACTCGGATGCAGATGAATTGTCACTCATTTTACTTATTTTTCAATTAAAACTTTTACGGAAAACTCGGGAAAATTCTTGTTATGCATATTTTTGACGGAAAAGGAAACGCCAAAGCCATGAAGCAAACGTCCAATGATTTTGCTAATCTTATCGATGTTCGATGGAATCGTTTCCACATCGTATCGTATCGATGGTTTCGCGAGTAATTTTACAACTCAAATTGGAAATCATTCAATTAAATTAAGTATACATACATACATACTCTGGCTTTCGACGGAATTTAAATTTGTATGCCCTGGTTTTCGCCACTTTTTGTATCGATAGTGTTTCATTCCGTATCGATACCCATTATCAAGTCGGACGGACGCTGGCGTTTGCAATTTTCTAATTGCAGTGCTCTGTCCAGAATGATACAATAACTTAACTATTAATCGAAATACCATAGAGAAAACTTAACTGGTCTTTTTATTTACGACATTATTTACTAAGGCTAGTATTTATGATTACTGGATTGCCATTCCAGTCCTGTCGCAGCTTCACATTCGAATCTATGGCTATTGGACACGTCGCATTGGACACGGTTGCGTTTGCGCAATCCTTTTGATAACCTCATCGCTCATTCGTAATGTAAGCAGGCAACTCAGCTGTTTTTGTGTATATCGAAGTCGATTGCAACTATGGAAACCCTGTTTTCCCATTTCTAGAACGACTCGTGGTAAATTATATTGAAATCGCCCTATAAATTCCTATATCAGAATGGGTAACCCCCACAATATCGTCCTTTGCCCGCCTTTGTACATATATGTGCATAATAATTGCTAGATTTAGGGTCTTCTCTTTCTTTCAAATACCACCTCTTGGAATCTGTAGTACATGTAGGTGTATGTGTTTAGGGACTGTATCCCCTAGTTGGCATCCCCTCCTTTTGTATACTTTTCGGTCAGCTTCTCCACATCGCTCATCTCAAGAAGAGTGTAGATGCAGCAGCCATCACTTGCGCGGTGCAAGGTGGACATCTCCAACTTGTTCGGAATCAGATTAGCGGTGCCCAGAGTGCAGTCCAGTACCTTCATGGCAAGGTCCTTGGCTTCTTCCAGACTAATGGATACTTCTGGGTCTATCTCTTGCTCCAGCAGGGAGCTGGCGACGTCAAAGTCATGGCCAGCGGCAGTAGCCTTCCAGCCACTGTAGTTGCCGCTGGGATCGGAATTGTACAGTTGGTAGCCATAGACTTCGTCCCAGCCCATGTACAGAATGGAAACGCCGAAGGGCCGCCTGCCGCCCCACTGAGTGTAGGACTGCTTGACGTCGCATATATCGGCCACGAGTCCCTCACATGGAATCGTTTCTCCATAGTTAAATCTGAAGCGTTGGGCTGACATTCGCATCTCATCAATCAGTTTCGTGGCATCGGCTGAAACTCCGGCCCAGGTGCAAGCCACGTTGCTAGCCAAGCGAAACATCTTTCCCGATGGCCCGCCGACGAGTCGACTGTTGCAGCGTTCCGCGGCTAGCAAAACGCCATCTGCGGCAACTATGCCCAGGCACAGGTTGGAGGCGCAGACGGCCTCCATGGCATATTCCACTTGGTAGAGGCGGCCCTCTGGCGAAAACTGAACGGCTCGGGGATCATACAGACGTGCCATCGTACGCGTATACGAGTTTATATTGTAAAATGGCAGAAAAGGTTCTCCAATAAGAATAACAAACCGGTTATAGAGTTCTGTCCGTTTCAATAACAAATTTTGACAAAAATTGATTGGGGAAAATCCGATGAAACAATCCCTCACAGTAGGTGATTTTCAAACATATCCAACGTAGGGTATTCTATGACTAGGTTAATACTTCAGTATTTTCCCTCACTTTTATTTCCTATTCCTTCCGATTTGGTCAGGTAGAAATTAGAAGTGAAATTGCAGTGCACTCTTCCACGCGTTTACTCATTCTCTCTCTCTCTTTCTCTCACACACACACACTCTGCCTCGTTCAGTGTGCGTGGTCTGGAGGAGGGGAGCGATATAAGACCTAAAGAATACATGAAGACTTAAAGATTTAAAATTTGTATTTCAAATTTATATTCCCTACCAATTCCGCTACACTTCCAATGGGGAAGGAGAAGAGAAGGAACAAGAAATAAAACTGCTACAAGTTGCTGAAGCTAAAAAAGGCGTGGAAAGATAAAAGAAAGACAATATGTATGGACTCAAAATAATTGTTCAGAATGAAATATGGCACATTCCTTGGGCATCTCCATAACATTGTAATCAATTATACACATGTTCATCCAAATGTGTGTCCTCAATGGAAAATAATAAATAAAAGCCATTGAAAATTTTCCTAAAAGCAAAAAATTCAATGCAAGATATTTTTTCAGTTTTTATTTAACGAAATGGAAATTTTATTCAATTCATTTGTTGTGCAATTACATTTTTAGCGCTTGTCTGCTGTATTTTAAATACCCCTTTGGGGCCACTCCGGAAGTGCGGGAAATATTAAGAAATTTTCAAAAAATCAAAATAAATCACATCAAATCATAGAATACTTTGGTTTGACCAATGGAAGCTCATAGCTCAAAGGGTGAGTGGGATCCTGTAAGTTATTTAAATTGTGCGGTATAAATTTACGTTTATATGATATAAATGAAAAGAAAATTAAGTTGAATAATTATGGATGTACATTCATAGAGTCGACGGTGCTTTCCATCGATGTCTTGATCCAGCGTCTTGTTCCAAGCGGCGACTCTGACTTTGTAGTAGAATAAAACAAAAGAATATTATTAATTTAAGAACGTAATTTAACTGATTTCGTGTATTCGTACCCTTTACATCATTTAGCTGCATTTAAGGTATTTTGATTTTTGCATTACTCTTTTATTTTTTAAGAATTTATCTTGCAATGGCAATCAGGCGATTGCGATCGGCGAACCCACTTTTAAGGAGAATTCCATTTCGCGTGGTCTGAACTGATGAATGATGGCTTTATTGGGTGATATCTCCATCTCGGGGCACTTGACGAGAAGCTGAAAGTCAAAAGTACTCAGGTGGCAGTCCTTGCCCCAAACAACCATCAGATTGTTGCAGTGGGAGAAACCTATCGATTCAATCATTGCGTTGTGCTGGGTCATGCAGTGTACCATTCGCTCGTTGGTTGTGTCCCAAACAATGATCACGTCATCTCGGCCACCAGAGAGCAGGAAGCGCCCGCAAACGGAGTACGCCAGGGCTTTGATGGGGGCCCTGTGGCCGCGGAAGAGGCGCATTTGAGCGCGGGTGTCGTCCCAGATTCTGACGGTGGCGTCTGCCGATCCAGTGGCCAGGTACTCTCCATTCGGATGGAAGAGTCAAATCTCCAATCGTCCCAGGTGACCCAAGAATTCAAAAAGGGGCTCTGTCGAGTCCACTCCCCACACGCGCGCCACATTGTCGTTTGAGGCGGTGGCAAAGTGGCAGCCCCTCGGGGCGAACGCCAAACAGATGGCCCCGTGGTGCACATAGACAGTCTTGCAAAGCGCATGGTGCGGTCAGCCGAGAAGGTGAGCAGGTAGCTGTCTCCAGGAGAAAAGGCGCAGGCCCGGACCGGCTTCTGGTGGGCGGAAATCAACGTCTTCCTTCGCAGGCTGTTCACGTCTTGCCAGTCCTTGCTCACGGCCACGACGTGGACCCTGCCGGAGCTAGTGCCAAATGCAACGGTGTAATGGTCCGCTGAAAACGTCGCGCAAGTAACGTAGTCGTTGGGTGAGGGCAAGGCCTTGTTCATGATGAGGCTGGGCAGCTTTTTCCGGTCGAACGGACAGTCCGGAATAACGTCCCTGGAAGCCCAGGCAAATGGCGCGGGCAAAGGACGATCTCGGAGGGTTTGCTCCTGGCGCCATCATCGTAAGTTAGGATTTCGAAGAGGTCCAAATACCGCTTCAGGTGCCCATTCGGCGAATGCTGCCATTCGAGTACCTTGAATTGGTTGAAGGTGCTCTTGAACATGCAGAACTTCACTTTGTCCGCACCACTTAGCAGTTCCAGGGCTCTTTGTGGCACGTCGAGTGGCTTGCGGATCAGCTTGAGCTTCTCGATGCGCCTCTTGTACGAGTCGTCCAGCTCGTGTTTGTTCCCACCCACGAAGGATATAGCCCTCTGCAACTTTCCGCTCCACACCATTTGCAGGTAAGCAATGGCCAGAGTGGGATAGAGCATGACGTATACTTCATACTTACGAAAGTCAACCATTTCCTCGGTGATCTTCCCGATCGTCTTGAACGTCTGCTCATAGTCCGCGAGTACATTATCTGGTACGGTGGTGCAGAATATCCTTTGCTGGATCGGTCCGAGTCCAGCGCCCTCATAAAAATCGACGAAATCTTCGTAGATCTTCTGCTTACGCACGCCGTCATCTTTCTGCACCTCTGATATCCCACGGTCTAGAACACCCGACACGTGCTCTTTTTCCTGTGTCCGCTTCTGTGTCGGCTTCTGCGTGGTAATTTATTAGCAGCGAGACATTTTTTGCGTGTCCCCATCGGTTTTATCTACTCACATTCTTTTGCCCGGGTTCCTTGCATTTTTTTTTGTTCGACTTCTTATTGTGGGGGTTACCCATTCTGATATAGGAATTTATATTATATATAGGAAATATATTTTTATATTTTCAATATAATTTGCCACGAGTCGTTCTAGAAATGGGAAAACAGGGTTTCCATAGTTGCAATCGACTTCGATATACACAAAAACAGCTGAGTTGCCAGCTTACATTACGAATGAGCGATGAGGTTATCAAAAGGATTGCGCAAACGCAACCGTGTCCAATGCGACGTGTCCAATAGCCATAGATTCGAATGTGAAGACAGAGCACTGCAATTAGAAAATTGCAAACGCCAGCGTAATTTAAATTCCGTCGAAAGCCGGAGTATGTATGTATACTTAATTCAATTGAATAATTTCCAATTTGAGTTGTAAAATTACTCGCGAAACCATCGATACGACACGTTGTGGAAACGTATCGAACATCGATAAGATTAGCAAAATCATAGCTTCATTGGACGTGTGCTTCATTGCTTTGGCGTTTCCATTTCCGTCAAAAATTTGCACAACAGGAATTTTTTCGAGTTTTCCGTACAAGTTTCAATTGAAAAATAAGTAAAATGAGTGACAATTCATCTGCATCCGATTCGGAGCTGGAACGCATTTTTCACGACGTACCGATTCTCCCCTTTGACCCCAACGTCCACGACCTGGATGCCGATTTTCGTTTAACACGTTTTGGCGACCTGACCGAGCGTAGCAAAAAGACGCCCAAGGAACTGCTCACCAAACTGATGATGAACATCGCACCTCGCGAGGAGGTGGAAGCTGGAGGTGAGGAAGTGGAGCCGGTGCCGGCCTCGCAACAGCAGCAGCAACCGCTGGTGTCCGGATTCGACATCAGTAACCATGGCTCTGACGTTACACTAAAAAATCCTTTGCTGAACGACTTACATTTGGTGAAGACCACCGACTTTGTCTACCCGCTCATTGACGATCCCTACTTAATGGGCAAGATAGCGTGCGCCAATGTGCTCGGCGATCTGTACGCCAAGGGCGTTGTGGCCTGCGACAATATGCTGATGCTGCTGGCCGTGAGCACTCTCATGTCGGAGAAGGAGCGCGATACCATAGTCCCCATGATGATGCGAGGCTTTAAGGACTGCGCAGTAAAGGCCGGCGCCCATGTTACTGGCGGCCAGAGCGTGGTCAATCGCTGGTGCATCATTGGCGGCGTGGCCACGTCCGTCTGCGAGAATATCGAGATCATTGGGCCGGGCAACGCTGTTCCGGGCGATGTCCTGCTGCTGACCAAGCCCCTGGGCACACACGTGGCTCTGAACGTTCACAAGTGGATGGTTAGTGAGGACAGGAAGTGGAAGCACCTGAAGAACTCCTACGCCAAGGAGGATATCGCCAGGGCCCATGACATAGCTGTGAGATCCATGTGTCGCCTCAATCGCACCGCCGCTCAACTGATGCACAAGTATGGCGCCCATGGGGCCACCGTCATAGCTGAATACGGTCTCGTGGGTGATGCCGAGGCCCTGGCTGCTCGCCAACAGATGGAGGTTTCCTTTTCCATCTACAACATGCCAGTGATCGAAAAGATGGCATCAGTAGCTTCAAGCTGCCGCGATGTCTTCCAACTAATGCGTGGACGGGCCCCCGAGCATTCCGGCGGTCTTCTGATCTGCTTGCCCCGTGAGGAGGCCACCGCATTCTGCAAGGAAGTCATTGAACTGGAGGGTCCCAGTGCTCGTGCCTATATCATTGGCATTGTGGAGAAGGGGGACCGGACTGTCAATTTAATCAAGCCACGCGTCATCGATGCTAAAATATAATTCTTTTTGGCCATAACTTTCAGTAAATGCAAAAACCAAAGTTTTAGCTGGAATTATTGTTTGCTGAACAGGGGCTTGCTTGCCAAGTTGGAATATTTATAGTACCAAATATTTTATACGTTGTCGCAAGAATAAGGCAATGTAATGGCAAATGGCAATGGGCAAAGGCAATAGGCAAATCCAGTATTATAAGCGGTACTCAAAGAGTATAAGATAATAGGATCAATAGCCAAGTCTCTCTGTCCGTATGTCCGTCCGTTCCGATGAGATCTCAATTTTTGTATACAGACTCCTATATCCTCCTGCACACAGTTACAAGTTTACAAAGGATGCAAATCTGTGCCGTCTGCAATTTTGAAGATACCAGAAACTCAAACACGCAGAATTATATAGAGACTAATACTTCCCTTCTCCTGTCTATCAAAGATACAATAGAAACAGACAAAATATTTCAGAAAACTGATAAAATAGGTCATTAGGTGGAAAAGGGTTAAACGGAGGGCAAGAATAAACATCAGCGGTCATGATTCTATCTCTCTTTCTAGACAGAGAACGAAGAATAACGCTGCAGTCATCCGCTGCACTACCAACTCTAGCGCTTACGTATTATCACGTTTAAAATATATTGAATGCTATCTGTGAACACACCTGGACGCAATCTAATTCTTATGAAAATTACCCAATTACCTCTTTGTATGTACCGAAAATTGCCATATGGTAAAACTTCATTTGGCGTAATTAGATGAAAATAATAATATATAATATAATAATATCTCTGGAATTCGCACTTTTTTCAATATCGTATGAAACTTTTAGAAGCGGCCTTATAGTAAATTCCATAGAAATCAACGGTTTTGGAGAATAAAGAATTATTTATGACTTTTGACAATTTTATTAAGACCCTTTTTTTAAACATTAAATTTTGTTTGGCAAGTTTTTACTGATACAGTCTCATCCCCGTTTTCCGCGCATTCCAGCTCCAGTTCCAAATCGGATTATTGGAGCGATCATCCGCCGAGCTGTGTCGATTTGGACAGCGACGTCAGATATGAGATATGATATGATTAAGACGAAATTGCAGGCTTTAACTGAAGCGCGTATTCCTTCTCATAGCTGGCACTGATCGCTTCTTTCAGAACACCGATTAAAGTGAGGTTTTTCACCGACGACTCAATAACGGCTTCTAGGTCATGGACAGGATTAACATTCCGCATGGAGAACATCACCTCCAGTTTTATGGTCGAAAGAGGAACGTAGTCCAACAAATTTTGTTCCGAAAAGTAATAAATGGCCTGGAGAACGTGGCGGTTGACAACTTTTGGCACTTGAAAGTTATCCATTATGTATTAAATTCCAAATCTGACGAGTATAGAAGTGTAAAATTTAATCGTAAATTTATTTAAAATGTCCCAGCATGTACATACTTACTGACATATATATGTATGGCATATGGATCACTGGATCATTCTTACAATTCTTATAGATTACAATAATAGAGCTAACACCAGTGGTTATATGTTTCTCCACTCCGCTAGAGGGGGTGCACTGCAAAAGGAAGAGAGAGGAGAGCAGAGAATACCTCTGGTGATTTTCTGTGCCTTCAGGCATTTGGTTGTTGCCGGATGGAAACTGCAACCACGATCGCGTGCATCGCGCCAGCAGCATCCAAATTATTTATTTACCTGCACTTTTTACGACGTACGATGAATGTGCTTCGCAGGTGCACCCATTACTGCGATCGTCTTTCCTTCAGCACAATGCTTTACCTCATCGACTCTGACAGGGTAAGTTTTCCTTGTTTCCCCAATCCCATTTTCATATTTTCCATTGACTATTTTTGCTTGGTTCATTTTCTTTTATTTTTTTATTCCCTCCAGCTCTATTGGCCGAGACCCTCTCTGGCCACAAACTGCTATGCCGCGATCTCCACCTCTTATTCCGCCAGGTAAAGTTATCAAGTTTTTATTTATTATTTACATCATTACAATTTTTCCGTCATTTTAGCAGGTGGCCCGTTTCGGGTGCCAAAAGTACCACTTGCGTGACGGGTGACCGCCCGCATTCTTTTATAAGGGACTTCACCTCTGGGTCCGGCCACTCATGGCCTTTATCTCCGTCTCTCCAGTCCGCTCGCCGTCGGTACCTCTTCAGTAGCTGATTCCGCCGTAGCTCCTAGTCTTCTCGGGAGTTCAAAGGTATTGCTCTTAGCTGGACTGGGGCAGGCATCATGCCGCTGCACGGTCGCTGAGACGACAATGTGATGTCTCGTCCGTTGCAGCAGGGACCAGTGATTGACGGCGGAAATATTGGTTCAGCCGAATCAAACACTAGGATTCAGCTTCAATGCGCGTAAGTGAATCATTATATAAGTGTGGATAACTTTTAAAATATATCTTCCTTCACAGAGTACCTATGTACCCTACGCTTTGCCACAAGACGAGTCGTATCCGATGTCCCAACGTCAGACGGAGCCCTTGCAAGAGCCCGATCCTATTAACCGCTATTATCTTCCGACCTGGCCATCGACAACTATCTGAAGGACTTTGGCTATGGCAAACAAGGGAGTGGATACGGGGACTACTAGACTCTGGATAGATCTCGTTGTTATTAGGTTTAAGGATATATAAGATAGTACAGATACATTTTGGTAGTAGATATAAATGTAATCAACTTGTTTCTTTATATTTATACTTGGCTAAGTTATGATGGATAAAACTATTGAAAACTACCATCCTTGCTGTATCCTGTATGGGGGAAACTATCCCGATTGCAAATAGGCGTGGCACGCCCAGATCGGGCCATGACTGAATAACTATTATTATAATTGTTATTCTTGATTTTTTATAGAATAACTATTATTATTGATTTTTATTGAATAATTGTTATTATAATTGTTATTCTTGATTTTTATCGAATAACTATTATTATAATTGTTATTCTTGATTTTTATAGAATAACTATTATTATAATTGTTATTCTTGATTTTTATTGAATAATTGTTATTATAATTGTTATTCTTGATTTTTATCGAATAACTATTATTATAATTGTTATTCTTGATTTTTATCGAATAACTATTATTATAATTGTTATTCTTGATTTTTATTGAATAATTGTTATTATAATTGTTATTCTTGATTTTTATAGAATAACTATTATTATAATTGTTATTCTTGATTTTTATTGAATAATTGTTATTATAATTGTTATTCTTGAATTTTATAGAATAACTATTATTATAATTGTTATTATTGATTTTTATTGAATAATTGTTATTATAATTGTTATTCTTGATTTTTATTGAATAATTGTTATTATAATTGTTATTTTTGATTTTTATAGAATAACTATTATTATAATTGTTATTCTTGATTTTTATTGAATAATTGTTATTATAATTGTTATTCTTGATTTTTATTGAATAACTATTATAATAACATAATAAATTATAATAGTTATTCTATAAAAATGAATAATAACAATTATAATAATAGTTATTCAATAAAAATCAAGAATAACAATTATAATAATAGTTATTCGATAAAAATCAAGAATAACAATTATAATAATAGTTATTCGATAAAAATCAAGAATAACAATTATAATAACAATTATTCAATAAAAATCAAGAATAACAATTATAATAATAGTTATTCTATAAAAATCAAGAATAACAATTATAATAATAGTTATTCGATAAAAATCAAGAATAACAATTATAATAACAATTATTCAATAAAAATCAAGAATAACAATTATAATAATAGTTATTCGATAAAAATCAAGAATAACAATTATAATAATAGTTATTCGATAAAAATCAAGAATAACAATTATAATAACAATTATTCAATAAAAATCAAGAATAACAATTATAATAATAGTTATTCGATAAAAATCAAGAATAACAATTATAATAACAATTATTCAATAAAAATCAAGAATAACAATTATAATAATAGTTATTCGATAAAAATCAAGAATAACAATTATAATAATAGTTATTCAATAAAAATCAAGAATAACAATTATAATAACAATTATTCAATAAAAATCAAGAATAACAATTATAATAATAGTTATTCGATAAAAATCAAGAATAACAATTATAATAATAGTTATTCGATAAAAATCAAGAATAACAATTATAATAACAATTATTCAATAAAAATCAAGAATAACAATTATAATAATAGTTATTCTATAAAAATAAAGAATAACAATTATAATAATAGTTATTCGATAAAAATCAAGAATAACAATTATAATAACAATTATTCAATAAAAATCAAGAATAACAATTATAATAATAGTTATTCGATAAAAATCAAGAATAACAATTATAATAATAGTTATTCGATAAAAATCAAGAATAACAATTATAATAATAGTTATTCGATAAAAATCAAGAATAACAATTATAATAATAGTTATTCAATAAAAATCAAGAATAACAATTATAATAACAATTATTCAATAAAAATCAAGAATAACAATTATAATAATAGTTATTCGATAAAAATCAAGAATAACAATTATAATAACAATTATTCAATAAAAATCAAGAATAACAATTATAACAATAGTTATTCTATAAAAATCAAGAATAACAATTATAATAATAGTTATTCAATAAAAATCAAGAATAACAGTTATAATAACAATTATTCAATAAAAATCAAGAATAACAATTATAATAATAGTTATTCAATAAAAATCAAGAATAACAATTATAATAATAGTTATTCTATAAAAATCAAGAATAACAATTATAATAATAGTTATTCAATAAAAATCAAGAATAACAATTATAATAACAATTATTCAATAAAAATCAAGAATAACAATTATAATAATAGTTATTTTATAAAAATCAAGAATAACGGTTATAATAATAGTTATTCAATAAAAATCAAGAATAACAATTATAATAATAGTTATTCGATGGAAATCAAGAATAACAATTATAATAACAATTATTCAATAAAAATCAAGAATAACAATTATAATAACAATTATTCAATAAAAATCAATAATAACAATTATAATAATAGTTATTCTATAAAAATCAAGAATAACAATTATAATAATAGTTATTCAATAAAAATCAAGAATAACAATTATAATAACAATTATTCAATAAAAATCAAGAATAACAACTATAATAATAGTTATTCTATAACAATCAAGAATAACAATTATAATAATAGTTATTCTATAAAAATCAAGAATAACAATTATTCAATAAAAATCAAGAATAACAATTATAATAATAGTTATTCTATAAAAATCAAGAATAACAATTATATTAACAATTATTCAATAAAAATCAAGAATAACAATTATAATAATAGTTATTCAATAAAAATCAAGAATAACAATTATAATAATAGTTATTCGATAAAAATCAAGAATAACAATTATAATAACAATTATTCAATAAAAATCAAGAATAACAATTATAATAATAGTTATTCTATAAAAATCAAGAATAACAATTATAATAACAATTATTCAATAAAAATCAAGAATAACAATTATAATAACAATTATTCAATAAAAATCAATAATAACAATTATAATAATAGTTATTCTATAAAAATCAAGAATAACAATTATAATAACAATTATTCAATAAAAATCAAGAATAACAATTATAATAACAATTATTCAATAAAAATCAAGAATAACAATTATAATAATAGTTATTCAATAAAAATCAAGAATAACAATTACAATAATAGTTATTCAATAAAAATCAAGAATAACAATTATAATAATAGTTATTCTATAAAAATCAAGAATAACAATTATAATAATAGTTATTCGATAAAAATCAAGAATAACAATTATAATAATAGTTATTCTATAAAAATCAAGAATAACAATTATTCAATAAAAATCAAGAATAACAATTATAATAACAATTATTCAATAAAAATCAAGAATAACAATTATAATAACAATTATTCAATAAAAATCAAGAATAACAATTATAATAATAGTTATTCGATAAAAATCAAGAATAACAATTATAATAATAGTTATTCAATAAAAATCAATAATAACAATTATAATAATAGTTATTCTATAAAAATCAAGAATAACAATTATAATAACAATTATTCAATAAAAATCAAGAATAACAATTATAATTACAATTATTCAATAAAAATCAAGAATAACAATTATAATAATAGTTATTCAATAAAAATCAAGAATAACAATTATAATAATAGTTATTCAATAAAAATCAAGAATAACAATTATAATAATAGTTATTCTATAAAAATCAAGAATAACAATTATAATAACAATTATTCAATAAAAATCAAGAATAACAATTATAATAATAGTTATTCTATAAAAATCAAGAATAACAATTATAATAATAGTTATTCAATAAAAATCAAGAATAACAATTATAATAATAGTTATTCGATAAAAATCAAGAATAACAATTATAATAATAGTTATTCTATAAAAATCAAGAATAACAATTATAATAATAGTTATTCTATAAAAATCAAGAATAACAATTATAATAACATTATTCAATAAAAATCAAGAATAACAATTATAATAATAGTTATTCGATAAAAATCAAGAATAACAATTATAATAATAGTTATTCGATAAAAATCAAGAATAACAATTATAATAACAATTATTCATAAAAATCAAGAATAACAATTATAATAATAGTTATTCTATAAAAATCAAGAATAACAATTATAATAATAGTTATTCGATAAAAATCAAGAATAACAATTATAATAATAGTTATTCGATAAAAATCAAGAATAACAATTATAATAACAATTATTCAATAAAATCAAGAATAACAATTATAATAATAGTTATTCTATAAAAATCAAGAATAACAATTATAATAATAGTTATTCGATAAAAATCAAGAATAACAATTATAATAATAGTTATTCGATAAAAATCAAGAATAACAATTATAATAACAATTATTCAATAAAAATCAAGAATAACAATTATAATAATAGTTATTCGATAAAATCAAGAATAACAATTATAATAATAGTTATTCGATAAAATCAAGAATAACAATTATAATAACAATTATTCAATAATAATCAAGAATAATAATTATAATAATAGTTATTCGATAAAAATCAAGAATAACAATTATAATAACAATTATTCAATAAAAATCAAGAATAACAATTATAATAATAGTTATTCTATAAAAATCAAGAATAACAATTATAATAATAGTTATTCAATAAAAATCAAGAATAACAATTATAATAATAGTTATTCAATAAAATCAAGAATAACAATTATAATAATAGTTATTCTATAAAAATCAAGAATAACAATTATAATAATAGTTATTCGATAAAAATCAAGAATAACAATTATAATAACAATTATTCAATAAAAATCAAGAATAACAATTTTAATAACAATTATTCAATAAAAATCAAGAATAACAATTATAATAATAGTTATTCGATAAAAATCAAGAATAACAATTATAATAATAGTTATTCTATAAAAATCAAGAATAACAATTATTCAATAAAATCAAGAATAACAATTATAATAACAATTATTCAATAAAAATCAAGAATAACAATTATAATAACAATTATTCAATAAAAATCAAGAATAACAATTATAATAATAGTTATTCGATAAAAATCAAGAATAACAA